AAACCAATATTTCTCGATACTATTTGAAGGTACGCTTTACGTCAATTGTTTAGAGCCTCAACACTATACAAACCGCACCCTTATGTACAGCATACTTACTTTGAGCAATTAAAACTTGATTGACGCACCAATGAGGTGGCTATGGATACAATTTTTTAATGCCTCTTACTTTTAAGGGTGGGGTTTGTATAGAGCCTAGGTTTTAAACAATCAAATTAGAGCATACCTTCAAATGGTATCGAAAAATATGGTTTCAATTTTCGAAATCTTTGTGATAGCCTTAAAATATTTTTTTTATATTTATTTATAAATTTTAAAGCTTCAAAAATAGTGTAGATCGACAGATCTATGAAAGCTTGAAAATCTTGAAAATTGACAATCCAAAAATGTGTTACAAAATACATTATTTCCAAAATTTGAAATATATTTTTTTTCTCATATCCATGCTTCTTAATGTCGAGATGATCTTTTTTCTTTTTTTTTTGACAAAAGGTTCCTAAATTTTGTTAATAAAATTAAGCAAAAGAGATTACATCAGGAGCAAGAGTAATAGAAGGCAAAGAAACCCCGCCTTTAGCCAAGGAGTTAGTAAGAGATGATGTCAAGATGATCAATTTGAAGATATTTGAACATCAAAACAACCTCTTCTAGTGAAATTTTTAAGATAGGCTCAAATTTGATTGTTTAGAGCCTCAGCTTTATATAAACTTTTTCAACCCCATTGCTTTTCTAATAAAAGACCCACTTATATTTTACTTATACTTTATGTAAATATATATCGAATTTGGCTTAACTCTCCCGAGTTTGAGCCAACTTGGGAGATTCATGGTACACTTCCCGCAAGGAAGCTACTCGAGCAGCTTACTCGCTTGCAAAAGTAGCGCCCACGTCTTGTCTTTTCAATATGTGATTCTCTCTTTTTTTTGTCGCCTAAAATAGAAAAATATAGATAAGTGAGAGAATTTCTAATTAGACATATCTTCATCTAATTAGAAATTCTCTCGATACTGAACTTAAAGGATTTTGGTAAAAAGATAAAAATATTCACATTTGGAAAAAGTTTGTTAAATGCCTAGCAAGAAAAGAAAGGGCCATGAAGAAAAATTTTCAGAGATATCATTATATGAATAAAGATATTTAGTTACCTGATACTTATTTAGAAATATTTTAGAAAAGAAAGGGGTGATAATTAAAAAAATTTCTTTATGACCCCTTTGGCACATCATGTAATTGTGAGAGAAATGTTTTAGAAAAGAAAACATTTTAAATCAATTTAGTTTAGAAGAAAAAATAGAAAGTAGGAGTTATTGATATTAATTTATTTTTTAGAGAAATTGAGTTCACACACCAAAGAATGAAGGGGATGGCAGATTGAGTTCATATGCGACATAATGAAGGGTTCATGTGAGGGAGGATTACAAGCTATAGAGATGAGGCAAGCAAAGAAAAAAAAAATTAGGGTTACAAGCTAGAGAGATGAGGCAAGCAAAGAAAGAAAATCATATGAACTTCTCTCTAATAATTTGAATGTATGATTCTTAAATTTTTATTTGTATATATTCCTATAATAAATTTTATTTCTTCTTTTTTTTAGTTTTCGTTAATTAATTGAGTGAGTTGAGCCCATCAAACACGATGTTTTCTATTTTATTTCTTTTTTATTTATAACATTTATTTGTTTCAGTGTGGGGATTGCATATGTTCTTATTTTTATTTAGTATTGATTAAATATCATATTATTTTTTACTTTTCACTTTTTTAGACTTAGTCTATGCTTTATAATGGTGGTTTTTATTTTCAAAGCATATGTTAATGCTTTAAAATTTCAATGATGCCTCTTTTAAGAACTGTCCCCAAAAAAATTTTAATATTTTCTATTACAGCAAAATGTAATGATTTAAAAAACTTTACAGCAAAATGTAATGATTTAAAAAACTTTCTTGCCAATTAAAAAATTTATTACAGATTTTTAGATTTCTCCTTTTCATTACTTACTCTATTGATTTTTGTTTTCAAAGAACTTCAATTATTTTGATATGGCCGCAACCTTATCGAAATAAGTAAAGCCTCACATCAAAACTCACTAAAAATTATTTCTCTGGTAACAAAAAAACTTCAAATCAATCATCTCGGTCTTGAGAATTATGGTTCACAAAAAAATTAGGGTTTTGGGCCCTCATAATAGTGTATGCCCTAAAAGTAAGTGTTCACGTATCTGCAAGATCTGTAATATTTTTTTACCTTCAAATTTTGTAGTTGGTGTTGAAAATTGATTTTAGAGGCATAATAATTTTTAATGCCCAAAGTGCTTTCCAGATTAAGATTCGAGGTGAGGTTTTACTTTATTTTCGTAAAGCCTAGAACTTATAATTATGTTTGATTTAGTATAAAAATAGTAAAGTTATACTTTCAATTCCTTTTTTATTTCTAAACGACTAAATTTGTTCACTTTCTTTGTAAATTACAATTTTCAAATTATCATAAAAATCGTTTTCGTGCTTTCATGCTTCTTAAAATTATTTGTCATAATTTTTATATTTTATAAATAAAAATATAGATATTTAATGTAAGCTTACCTTTTGTTAATCTTTTATTTATAAATTTGTAATTCCTCATGCTCACAGAAATATTCATTTTGAATTTTTATTGTATTTTTATTTTAAAATTATTATGTCGTCTTGGCAAGCATTTGATGCCCATATAATACCATGTCATTGGGCAACAAACAACCGTAAAAAGGTCCACTGTTTAATGCAGATGAGAGATGATTTTTCCCAGTCAATACGGCAAGTAGTAGCTCTAACTGGGACTAGCAAAGGACCTTCCCACCTTCCTCTATGTCTACATTTCACCGTTCCCTGATCAACCACGTGTCCATATTCAACATCACATCGAACTCTGAAATACCCATTCTTCTTTGCGGGTATACGTAACACGGGTCGGGTATGGATCTAGCATTTGGATCCGGCAAGTCAGGTCCGGTTCAAAATTTGGATCCAAACACTATACGTATCCAGGTCCAACTGTACCCGATCCATACTTTTAAACTATTTAAAATAATAAAATATCTTACTTTAAGCCCTATTCATTTGGATGTATTAAGGAGCATATATAATTAGAACTAGTAGTCATCTTTAGCTATTAAGCCACAAATCACACGGCTTGAATCTAATAGGAGGTGATTGTGACCTTGCGGCCAATAATTCGGGTATATGATGGTAAAAAAAAGGGCAAAAAATAAGTAAATAAATAAAAGCTCATAGTGAGAGTGACAATAGACCTAAGACCCGATGGGGTAGACCCAAGATCCGACAGATATGGGTATGCTTCCAATTTTTTGACCCGATAAATCGGTCAGAACCCGAATCTATTCGAGTCTGGGTCCGGTCCAACTGGACCTGACCCATACCCGACCCATTGCCACCCCTAATTGAAAAGTGTGTAGAATTATATTTTAAAAACTTTTATATTTTTTTGGGTAATTCAGTGTGGAAGAGAGGCCTTTACCGTTACATTTTGAATCCTTTCAGTAGGCAAAGCACTTCCTTCAAATGTCTTTCTATTTATGTCCTTCCAAATTGTCTATAACATAATGCTGAAAATCTTCCAAATAACCTCCTAATTTTACGGAAGTGGACGTCCATCTATACAAACCAAAAAATATCTCTCTCCAAACACACACTCTCTTTCTATCTCGTAAGATGATCCCTTGTCAGCCTTATTTGTCAGTTTTTATTTTCTTATGTTTATTTCTCTCTCTATACAATTGGTAAACCGATCCGTTGTCAGCTTTATTTGTGGGTTTTTTATTTTTTGTATTTTTAACTTTTTTTGGGTATGAAGTGGACATGAGGTTGGGAAAAAAGGGAAAGAGGAAACATTAGTACAAACATAGATTAATTGGGTCAACTTTGTAAACAAAGAACTCTTGGTTTGTCGATAAATAGAGAGAGAGAGGTTTTTGGTTTACAGATACTGCTAGGTTTTTGGGGTTAGAGAGAGACTAGGTCGGAGGGTGAGTGACAGATTTGTGGGTTTGTGAGAAAGAGAGAGACTAATTTTGTGGTTAATGGAGAGAGGTTTGTGAAAGAGAATAAAAAACCTGCTTGCTGTAGTTAGGAGAGAGAGCAAGGGATAGGTTCGTGAATTTTGGTTCTTGGGGGTGGAGAGAGAGATGTGCTATATGTATTTCTTTTACATAATTTATGTAACAGCTAATATGGCCTCTATTAGATCTTTTTGAAAATAAAACCAGTTATAATAGTAGGTTTGAGCATTATCAATTTGCATGCGAGCAAGTCACTCCACATTACTTGGGATCAATAAAACCGGTTATGGTAGTGGGTTTGAGCATTACCAATTCGCATGGGTGGATCAAATCCCATCTGGTTCATATCTTTTAAACCTCTTACATATTTTTTGAACTCCACAAAAAGATTGGCCAGACCATGATTACATGGCTCAAACCGAGCCTGAAATCCCGGCCAGATTTAGAGGCTAGAGCCCAAACTTTACAGGGCCAAACCCAGTCTACCAGCCCACTTTCTCGTTTTAACTGTGTGCAAGGTCCATGACACCATATTGCCAGGCATAAAGTAATCAGTAAAAGAAAGAAATACAGTTCCTCGACCCCTCTCTATTGAACTGCTGTTGAGATTCATTGGCTCATTTTCCCTCATGAATATCCACCACGTACTCTACCAAACATTTATTTACAATAAAACAACCAGAGAGAGAGGGAGGCACAGAAGTAGTCAACCCCCACTTCCCAGATATTAATGGAATCGAGCATGAAATTGTTTTACCTCACATATTGTGTTACACTATACAAATCATCTGATACAGCAATACAGGTGAAACAAATCAGCTTCCATATGCTACAAAACCTCTGAGAGAAACAGAGACTTCACCACAGCTGAATCCGCCGCGCATTAAGTCATCAATTCCCTTGACCCTGCAGGCCCCTTAAAGAAGACCCAATGGGATTTCCCTGGGTCTGACTGTAAAAGAAAGGGGGAAAGAACCTGTGGGAACCTGAAAATGAGCAACCCAGAGAGAGAGAGAGGGTTGAATTCATATGATTGAATTCGCATGATATCTATGAATTTAGTACACGCTCAGCCCACGCTAAGGGAGACTCTTTGTCAACAGTGGGAGATGTGTTGATGCCATTCTCAAGCATTGAAGCAAGAGTGCATACAAGAGGCCTATTGGATGGGTCAACCTGTATGCAGAGGGTCACAACTTCACATACAACTCGGAGATCTTCGTATCGAAATTGTTTCAATGCGGGGTCTACCAGGTAGGATATCATCTCTGGTACTTCAAGAAACTCCTTAGCCTGTAATGGTACACAAGCCAGATTCAGAAAATATGAGCAAATGTTGGAGAATGGGATTATTCTAATTGAGGAGAATGAAAAAGAGAATTGAATGTTTTAGGAGAGAAACAAACATAACTTTGATCAGTTTTGCTTAAAAGTATTGACCATAGAAGCAATGCAGGCACTGAGATATATTATTGATGGAAGTGCTCGATATGGTTTTAGGCCAGCCAATATCTACCATCTCTCTCTCTCTCCCCACATGAGAAGCAGTATGAAGGACTACATATGCAGAAGAGGTAAAACATCATGCCACCACTGCCAGTTCCGTTGGCCCCAAGAGAGAGAGAGTCCTGAAAATGCCAATGCGGCTGGTACTGGGGTTTTCTCTGGTGAAACCACAACCATACCCATTCTAACATGCAATGCATAATAGTATCGAGTCAACAATATTGACATCCAAGGCCCGAAAATCCCAACTCAACAACCAAATATATAGAGACATACATTTCAAGACTTCTTCAACCTTTCTAATTTGTTACAAAGCGTGAATTTTTCTTTCTAATCTTAAACTTTGAAGTTCAAACTTTGAATGAAACTTTTCTACAGGCATATACCAAAACACACACACAAACACATCTCTCTCTCTCTCTCTCTCTCTCTCTCTCT